ATTCACTGCAGAGGATCTATTGGTGAGCAAGTGATGTAATGCTAAATTTCTCCAAATCTGTTTTGATGAAGAAACAAACTCATCTTCATCTTGAAAGGCCTGAGGGTGAGTACATTTTCAGAGAATTTTCATTTTTTGGCTTTAACATTAATATACACTTAATGCTATTTTTCAGGTAATGTACTACAACCCGGTGCAGGTGCACTGATGGCTCGAGTTGCACATTTTTTAAGGTAAAATGAGTAAATGAATAATAAATCAAGATATTGCTAAACATTTGAATTGGCTGCAAATTCAAGACTTTCTTTATCTTTCAGTGGTTTTCCTGAGTCTGTACCCGTATACACTGTAAACAGGCAGTGCTCTTCTGGACTACAAGCACTTTTTAATATTGCAGGTAAGAATTACATGTTAACCTGTAAAATGGCCTGTTTGGGCCACACCATATTAAAATACAGTATTGTAGGTTTTTTTTTCTGTGTTTTAAGGAGGAATCAGAGGAGGTTCGTATGACATGGGACTTGCCTGTGGGTTAGTATGATGCATTTGTAATTGTTAAATTCAGTAATGGATGTGAAAGATAAAGTGTAGCATTAGAATCTGAATCTTATACCTAATTTCTTTTTCCTTGTTTTCTCTTGTCAGTGTGGAGAGCATGTCCCTTCGTTCACCGGATAACCCTGGAGACCTCAGCCCCCGACTGATGGACAATGAGAAAACCAGAGACTGTATCATTCCCATGGGGTATGCATGTTATTTATTTTATACTCTGTTTTATTCTTTACATTACATTGTTTTCCTCTATTTTCTTTCAGAATAACCTCAGAGAATGTTGCTGAGAGATTTGGCATCACTAGGGAAGCACAGGACCGCTTTGCTCTCAGTTCCCAACAAAAGTAGGTGCTACCATGACATTTATGGATAGTTTATACATTCTAGTTGTTGGTATTTAGCAAAAATGCACTCAAAACAACTCAAAGTACTAATTATTTGTGGACTTTTATAACACTAGGGCAGCCATGGCACAGAAAAAGGGCTTGTTTGAGCAAGAAATCACACCGGTCACTACTAAATTTGTGGATGAAAACGGCACGGAGCGCACTATTACTGTCACAAAGGATGATGGGATCCGGCCTGGGACTACCTTTGAAGGCCTGGCCAAACTGCGACCAGCGTTCAAAGAAACCGGCAGCACCACAGCTGGTGTGCATATGTAGAATTTTTGAAAACGTAATTTGGTTGTTAAATTCCATAACTCAAATCTTTCATTCCCATTGCAGGTAATGCCAGTCAGGTGAGTGATGGCGCAGCAGCAGTGCTAATTGGGCGGAGATCTACAGTGGAGAAACTGGGACTTCCTGTTTTTGGGGTGCTGAGGGCGAGCGCTGTGGTGGGTGTTCCACCAGACGTAATGGGCATTGGCCCAGCCTATGCCATCCCACAAGCCCTCAACCAGGCTGGTGAGAGAACAGCTGCTCTCACTGTACCTCTATGTTCATATGAGCCATTTATATTCAAGTAGTAATCATGCTTAAAAATGTATTAAAATAGATTTTCATTATTCCAAAATAATGGTTGTAAATGAGCCGTGTTATTGCATTTGCTTGTGCAGGGCTGACCGTGGATGATATTGATGTGTTTGAGATCAACGAAGCATTCGCCAGTCAGGTGACTGATAGATTTTCTTGGATTTCCCCCAGTTTTTTTTCAGTACTTTCCTGTTATTCATAACAGCGACTTTCACAATATTCCAAGGCTGTGTATAGTGTGGAAAAACTGGGTATTCCTATGGAGAAAGTGAATCCTAATGGAGGAGCCATTGCTCTTGGTCATCCACTGGGCTGCACTGGTGCTCGACAGGTCGTGACTTTGCTCAATGAGCTCAAACGCAGACGCAAGAGGTGAACATACATAATCATATGATAATATCATACAGAAGGGTCCAATGAAAGCTGTTATTTCCCCCAAATTTTGAATTCCATTCCATGTTGCAGAGGGTATGGCGTGGTGTCCATGTGCATTGGGACTGGAATGGGAGCAGCTGCAGTTTTTGAGTATCCTGGACAGTGATGAAAGGCCTGTCGCAAGATCCCAAGATGCAAATGTCCTGATGACACGCAGAGAAACTAACAGTCACAAATTATTTTTAATCAAGCTGCTAGAAGTCTAACTGTAAACACAAGCAGAGAGACCACACTTCTTACGTAGTGTGCATCAGTGGGTGTTTGCCTTAATTTTTGAGGATGTTCACCATTCAGATCTCACTTTAAAGTGCCTTGCATTTCAACTGTGATAACAGATCATGGAAACAGACATGCTTGTATCTGTAAGAGCAATCAGAATACCAACTTTTATCTCTTTGATTTGTGACATTAATCTGATCTAGTCTTTCCTTCTGATATGGATATAGCAGCAGAACTCAGAATTAAAAAAATAAACTTTTTTAACCTGTGTTGAGGACCAGTGTAATTTACAAAGGTTGTAATGCATCTCATTTGTTAGAATAAAAATGATTTATTATGTATGAAACTTGCGTTTTTAATGCTAGGTATACTACCTTTCAAAAGTTTGGGGTCCGAAAGATTTTTTTAAAAGAAATTAATACATTTATTGAGAAAGGATGCATTAAACTGATCAAAAGTGACAGTAAACTAAAGACATTTATAATATTACAATTTTTTAAATAAATGCTGTTCTTTTGAACTTTGTATTTATTAAAGAATCCTGAAAAAATATCACGATTTCCACAAAAAATATCAAGCAACACAACTGCTGAAAATTCAGCTATGCCATCACATTACATTTTCAAATATATTGAAACAGAACAGTAGTTAGCTATTTTAAATTGTAATAATATTTCACAACATTACTGTATTGGTAAACAAAAGACATTTAAAAACAAAAAATCTTACTGATCTCAAACTTTTGAACAGTAGCTTATGTGTGAAGGAGCTGTTTAACTACAACTTGACCTTTGATCCTCAATTCGCAAACATACACCATAGGCCATTTAAAATCTGCTTAAGTTTTTGTGTTGATCTTTAATCTTTATAATTAAAGGAATAAAACTTTCACAAATACAGTATTTGTAGTATACAGAGATCAGTGTCTAATCAAACTAATGAATGTCTATACAGAGAGAGAGAGATACATCTCAGTTCTTCAGTCTCATATGTGGAACTCAGTGTTTTTTCAGGTGTAAGATTTTGGAGATACAAAACTCTCATCAAATGATCCACTTCCATTGACCTTCAGAACAAGTGGTGTCTCTCCAAGAACCCCCTGCACTGTGATAATAGTTTGGAACTCTTTCTGATCACTGATGAAGAAAATACAATTAGTATGAAGTTTGAAAAATGAACTTGCTTAGGCAAATACAGTAATATAGTTGAACTTTGAACTTCAAACTCAACCTGAATCTAAGTTATTAATCTTTTGCAGGTATATGATACTATCCATTTCTTGAATGAAGTATTTTCTGCAATATGATTTGATTGGTTGTGAGTGTATCAGGTGAGATGGACTGTACCTCGCAGTGAAGCTGATCTGCAGCAGCTGCTTACAGGATGGTGGATCCCCAAGAAATTTCAACACACCAGAGTCTGGACTCACTCTGAATACTTCATTGCCACCTTCAGCATCTAGACACAAAACATAAGCTCAACTAGATGCAAAGTAATTACCATGATTGTAAAGATCAGATGATAAAAGACAGCAACCTTGACAATGTTAATGCAACTTCATGATCACTCCACTCCACAACTGCTTCATCCAAAGCCAAAGCATTTTACCTGTAAGTGCGGTCCAGAAGCTACAGGAGCCACCTCTGTTGTAGAGGTAGACCTCTTTGACAGTTGTTTGTCCAACAAAGCAGGTGCCAAAATCCACAGTGGAACTGGAAAGGTGCAGTGTCGGTAATGCCAGATTAGCATAAAGGGACACTGTCTGAAATAGTCAAACAGACAATGGTGTTTACAACATGGTTACTTACAGAGGAAATTCAGCTGAGACTTATGAGACACATCTACTTGTTTGGCTGCAAAAGCTTAGATATCAAGAAGAAAGCTTGCTTCTGGTTCACAGTTTTGGTTTGGGGTTGGTAAATTTATATTTAATGTTTTTGAAGGAAGTCTAAAGCTCACCAAGGCTGCATTTCAGTACGTTTCAGTATATTTTAAATTGTAATTTACTCCTATGATGGCCATTATTTCGGTGTCATGTAATCGTTCTGAAATATTCTAATATGCTGATGCTCAAGAAGCATTTCTTATTATCAATATTGAAAACAGCTGTGCTGCTTAATATTTTTGTGGACAATGTAATACATTTGTTTTCAGAAAGTTCAAAAGAACAGAAATCTTTTGTGACAATAGAAATATATCTTTACTGTCCTATTTTTTAAATAAATTTAAGGACTCATAAAGGTATTAATTTGAATAAAAGTATTAAAAAAATGGTAATTAAACAGTATTTAAAAAACGGTAGTGTAGCTTATCAGAGTTTCTCAAAGTGGGGTCCAGAGTTCAGTTAAGATAAATAAATAAATGTAAAAAATAATAATGTTTAAAGTTAATTTAAATATGTTACATTTTGTAAAAAAAAATAATTATATTCATTATTTAAAAAATAAAATGAATAGTTAATATTAAAATTTAATATTTGTTTGAATGAGGCTATTGTTCCAGGACCATTTTTTTTTTTTACCCATCATCATCTTCAAATGCAATAGCCTTGAATATTGCCTTGAAATGACAGCTCTATCATTGATACCAGCTTTATGAACCTCAAAAAGTGCATTTTGTTCCGTGACTAGTGTATTTTAGCTATTTAAAGGAGCTAAATGTTGTCTGTACACACCTGTACGCTGTTATTGCTGTACTGAATAGTCAAACTCTGCTGAAACTGTAGTGTCCTTTCTCCAGCATCATTGCACAGAAGAGTAGCAGAGGGCTGATCATCTGATTCCTCACATGGTTCATTCAGACAGGTCAGGAGTGAAGCTGAATTATGGAAAGCCACCTTAACCTGCAAATGAAAATGATTATTAAAACACTTCTGTGTCAGATTGAAAAATAGCACAGATTCCTACAGGGCCAAAGCAAAAAAAGCTGAAATCCAAGAGCAAAAAAACAATATGACCTGCAAGATTTGTTTAGGCTGCAACAGAAGTGATGTTTGCTCATCTCCTGGTCCAGAGAGTCCTGTTGTGTGTGTGTGTCTGTGAGAGGGTGAGCTGCTGATCAGTTTAAGGCTCTGTCGGGGCAGCAGCACTGAGAATGGAGGGTGTGTGCTCAGTCTGAAACTCAAGGCCATATCCGTATTGTTCTTCAGCTGGAACGTCCGAGTAATCCTGGATTCCTTCTAGAGTCCATATGGAAAGACAAAAATGTGCAGATAAACTCTCCCACGACCAACAGGAAATGTCATAATAAACTTGTCTTTGATTTGGATACATATTGTTTGTTTGAAGTGCACCTGTGTGTGTGATGCTGCGTCTAGTGTATCACTGGCAGCTGCTGTGAATTCCAGTACGTCTGTATCCTCTGCCATCTGCACTGACAAACTAAACACACACACTGATTTACAGTATGAAATGCTCGTGGTAGAAGCACATTGAAAGATTTCGCAATATGCAGATACTTATATTTGCTAAAATGTAAGTAGGGCATCACTAAGCGGTTGCTATATGAATATACTTAAATTAGTAACTCACATGGCAGGTTTTACAGTAGCCTGCATGTCCAGCCTCAAAGGTTCTAGTTCATAACCCTGGGCTCTCTCCACTTTGCCTGGAGTTAATGATGCAAGCTACAAGATAAATAATATGTCTGTACACACCTGTACGCTGTTATTGCTGTACTGAATAGTCAAACTCTGCTGAAACTGTAGTGTCCTTTCTCCAGCATCATTGCACAGAAGAGTAGCAGAGGGCTGATCATCTGATTCCTCACATGGTTCATTCAGACAGGTCAGGAGTGAAGCTGAATTATGGAAAGCCACCTTAACCTGCAAATGAAAATGATTATTACACTTCTGTGTCAGATTGAAAAATAGCACAGATTCCTACAGGGCCAAAGCAAAAAAAGCTGAAATCCAAGAGCAAAGAAACAATATGACCTGCAAGATTTGTTTAGGCTGCAACAGAAGTGATGTTTGCTCATCTCCTGGTCCAGAGAGTCCTGTTGTGTGTGTGTGTCTGTGAGAGGGTGAGCTGCTGATCAGTTTAAGGCTCTGTCGGGGCAGCAGCACTGAGAATGGAGGGTGTGTGCTCAGTCTGAAACTCAAGGCCATATCCGTATTGTTCTTCAGCTGGAACGTCCGAGTAATCCTGGATTCCTTCTAGAGTCCATATGGAAAGACAAAAATGTGCAGATAAACTCTCCCACGACCAACAGGAAATGTCATAATAAACTTGTCTTTGATTTGGATACATATTGTTTGTTTGAAGTGCACCTGTGTGTGTGATGCTGCGTCTAGTGTATCACTGGCAGCTGCTGTGAATTCCAGTACGTCTGTATCCTCTGCCATCTGCACTGACAAACTAAACACACACACTGATTTACAGTATGAAATGCTCGTGGTAGAAGCACATTGAAAGATTTCGCAATATGCAGATACTTATATTTGCTAAAATGTAAGTAGGGCATCACTAAGCGGTTGCTATATGAATATACTTAAATTAGTAACTCACATGGCAGGTTTTACAGTAGCCTGCATGTCCAGCCTCAAAGGTTCTAGTTCATAACCCTGGGCTCTCTCCACTTTGCCTGGAGTTAATGATGCAAGCTACAAGATAAATAATAGTGATATGACACTATCTTGACTGTAAAACTTATTCTATTTTGAAAGATGCTAATGTAACACAGTCTGTATAAGGTTAGGTGGACATGATTAACATACCTTAGAGTCCAGGCTCATGAAACCTAGAGCATAGCCGATACATCTTTGATTGGTTGAACATGACAGGATCAGAGGAGTAAAAGACACATGAATGGTGCTACTGCCCCCTGCTGGAACAACCTGTAATAAAGTACATATTAAAGGGGTCATATGATGCGATTTCAAGTTTTCCTTTCTCTTTGGAGTGTTACAATCTGATTTGTGCATAGATAAGAGCCCTGAAGTTGCAAAGACTAAAGTCTCAAAACCAAAGAGATATTCTTTATCAAAGTTAAGACTCTGCCACTGCCCCCTAAAACGGCTCGTTCTAACACGCCCCCACATATCTACCTCACTATGTGGAAATATTTGCATAATGTCGCCCAAATGTGCACGCAAAGAAAGAAGGCGTGGTTTCAGTAACCGCAGTTAGTGTTGAAGCAGCCATGTCAGGGAGACGCTGTGTGTTTCTAGGCAAAAGCAAAAGCACTTTATTTGGCCTTCCGAAAGTAGATGCATTTAGGAATCTTTAAGATTACTTACAACAGAACAGCAATGCATTTTATGGACGACCGTTTCGTGAACCTAGGAGAGGAGGTAATTCTGACTTTGCTATGACAA